ACAGTCTCTTTAATAAATGGTGCTGGAAAAACTGGCTCTCCATTTGCCGAAAACTAAAGCTAGACCCATGTCTATCAACATGTACTAAATTAAAATCTAAATGGGTCAAAGATCTGAATATTAAAACAGAAACACTAAATCTATTGGAAGACAAATTGGGTAGAAACCTTGAAGACATAGGAGTAGGTAGAGAATTCATGAACAGGACTCAAACCGCACGGGAAATACTTCCCAGAATCAATAGCTGGGACCACTTCTTATTAAAAAGTTTCTGCATGTCAAAACAAATCTCCAGCATGGTAAAAAGAAAACCCACAAACTGGGAAAAGATTTTAGTGAACTCTCTCTCAGACAAGAGACTCTTGTCTAAAACATATAAAGAATTAAAAAAACTCAGATCCCAAAATTCAAAGATCCAATCCAAAAATGGGCATCTGAGATGAATACGCACTTCTCAGATGAAGAAATGCAAATGGCAAATAAATACATGAAAAAATGTTCATCATCATTAGTCATTAGAGAAATGCAAATTAAAACCACACTGAGATACCATCTCACTCCTGAAAGAATGGCCAGGATCAAGAAAACCAACAACAACAAATGCTGGAGAGGCTGTGGGGAAAAAGGAACTCCCCTACACTGTTGGTGGGAGTGTAGACTGGTGCAGCCTTTGTGGAGGTCAGTCTGGAGATTTCTCAAAAAGGTGGGATTGGAAGTCCCACTTATTCCAGCTATTCCACTTCTAGGCATATTCCCAGAAGAACTGAAAGCATCATACCACAGTGATATATGTGCACCTATGTTTATAGCAGCACAATTTGTAATCGCCAGATCTTGGAAACAACCCAAGTGTTGGATAAAAAAGTTGTGGTATTTCTATACAATGGAGTATTATTCAGCTATAAAGGATCACATTGAGATATTTATCAATAAATGGGCACAGCTTGAGACCATACTAATAAGTGAAACAAATCAATCTCGCATGTATGAATACCGAAGTTTCCCTAATGTAAGTAATGATTCAAATATATAAAAATATGTGGTAATCATGATTCCCCATTATGTGGCCTTGAAGCCTTATAAACTTTTCACTTATTAATTGGAAAGGCTTTATTCTGGGCTTCTTGATATGGAAATACTTGAAGCTATAGTATATGAAGTTTTATTCAAATATTTCAAGGAAAAAGACAGACACTATGGTAACTACTATTAAGTCGGGTTATTTGGTGGTGAACCACTAGGTTGCTGAAACAGTCATGCTTTGACCTGTATTGTTATATTGCTATGTCCTGTTTTATCTCAATCTCTGCCTTATTCATTAAAAAATTATTTAGTTAGTTATTATGTTTTTTTTAATTAAGGGGAAAAATTTAAAAAATTAGCAGGATATATAATAGTAACTTTTTTGATTTCCTATTAACTTGTTTTGAAGTCTGTAATACTCCCACTATCTTGTTTTGACTGATTAAACTGTTCCATTCTGTATGATAGTATCAAGCTTGAGGGTATAGGCAACTACTTTGAAGGCAATAAAATTCACTAAGATGCCCATTCTGGTTTGACTATTGTCTCCTTTGGAAGTCCTATAATGTTCACAATGCTTAAGTTTTATTGGTCTTGTTCTCTACTGTTTTGTTCAACTTTATTATAATGAGATAGACAATTCTTTTTAAGGAAACAAGAGACATTGTTGATAACCTTGTACTGTTTTACATCATGTGTTATGTCTATCCTTGGTTTGACTGACAGCTTTGTTTTGCCATATTTGACTTTATTCTCCCCCCCCACCAAAAAAGTAATAAGAACTAAGGAGTAATAAAACCCAAAATGTGTAAATTTTGTTGTAAAAAAGAGAGGGGAAAAAAAAAAGAGTTCTAAATGATACAACAGCAAGAGTGTTTAGGGGTGTTAAATAGCTGACCATATTAATGTTTTTGGTTGGATCATTGAACACAACTGTTTGCAGCCTCACTGTTTGAGTGTCTACTTTGTATGCTTTGATACTGTGATTTGAACAACTATCTCTAAGATAATAATATGTAATCTATTAACCGGTGATTTCTTACTGTTTTTTTTTTTTTTTTTTTTTTGGTAGTTCTGTATTACTTGTACCCTTACACTTGTTTTGTTTTTTCTCTTTTTCCTTTTAAATAAAATTAAAAAAAAAAAGACACACGCACACACTTCAAGATTTTTCAACATAAAATCACATCATGTGGGGCTGGGGATTTAGCTCAGCAGCATAAGCGCCTGCCTTGCAAGCAGGCAGTCGTGGGTTCGATCCCCGGTACTGATAAAAAGAAAAAGACAAAAAAAAAAAAAAAAAAAAGTCACATCATGCACAATGTGCCAGGCCAGTTCAAAGTAGAAAACCAACAGGCCAAGCTGCAAGGTACTTCAGTCTGCTACATCATGACTTTGCCTAACTTTTTAAACAGTTAAAAAGGAAAAGAAAAAAAGACACCCTGAAGCCTATATGCTACCTAAACAAAGCTCAGTGCAGAGTACAGGGCACCCAAAGTATCTGGGCTCCCTGTCAGGCAGAGGTGATGACTCAACTGAGATTCAGCTGCTATCTTCCTACCACAGGAACAAGAATCAGCAACTTACAGAACTGCTGAAAATGTGACAGATCCCAACAGGAGTCAAAGACAAGGTCAGCCTCATAATGCACAATGAAGAGAAAGTATGCTGGGGATGTGGATGAGGGATAACAATGCTGATAACCGGATCTCGCCTCCATGTGGCAAGTGGGAAGCGCCTGAAAAGCGGTCTAGATAGCCATCAGCCTGTGGTAAGGGAGAATTCATCATGCTGGATCACCTTCAATTAGTTCTGACACCACCTGGTTCAATGTACAAGAGTCAAGAATAAAGAAACTGGACCTTACTCTATTGGTTATTTGTGACTCTCAAACAGAAACTGCCAGGTTATGTAAACAGCACTGATTGATTCCCTTAGTGCTTAAGACCACACTAAAAATATAAATGTGAAGCAAAAGCTAGTAGCCCATGTCACACCCCTTGCTTGAGGCCTCCATGGCCGCTCATACCACTGATGGGCAAGGCTGAAATCCTCCCAGGTCCCAACAACCTGATGTCACCCATCGCCCTGCCTGTCTTGCCCTCCTATAAGGTGTGATGATATGCATCTACAATACTAGCACTCAGGAGGCCAAAGCAGGATATTTGCAAACAAAGCCAGCCTAGGCTATATAATGAGCTCAAGGCCAGCCTGAGCAACATAGCAAAATCTTATCTCAAAACTCTTCTAGTCCACCCCCTGGACACAAGTGACTGTCGTCCTAAATGCAAGCTACAAGCTCAACTGCTGGTGAAGACCAGCTCTTGCCCCAGGCTCCTCAGACATGCAGGGGGACAGCATCTGGGGCAAACACCTCTGTTAGAACTGACCCACTCACCTGACCCATGACATCCAACAGTACACACGTGCTTCTGGGTAGCTGGCCCCGGCTAGCCTGTGGTCCAGCCAGCAGAAGTCACAGTCAGTTCCCATCCAGCTGGCAATTCTCCAGGCTTCTGACTGGTTCTGACCACCCTGAGGAACCCTCCTTGCCAATGAAGGCTCACCTTTCGTGGCTCCTACCGTTAATAACTTTAGGGTCCTGAGGCCTCTTTTCACGTCCACTATGTTTCCATCCCAACTACAGTATTTCTGCCAATGTCACTTTTCTGAAAGCCACACTCCTGTGAATCTTACCAGTGGTTTAATTCTTTAGACTGAAGCTCCATCCACAAGTCTCTTCAAAACTAACAAGTCCCTGTCACAGGCTTACAAGCTTCTAGGCAGCCTTGTTTTGTTTTCCTTTTGGAGACAGGGTCTTACTATATAGTTCAAACTGGACTTGAACTCAGTGATCTTCCTGCCTCAGCCTCCAAACTGGAATTATAGGCATGCAACACCACACCCAGCCCCTTTTGTTTACTCTCCAACTTTGAAAGATCTTAACAAAAAGACTCACTCATACCTCAGCTTCAGTCTTTCTGGATTGGAACTTTGCTCACAGTCACTTATTTACATTGTGACCTTGCTACTAGCAGGGGAGGCCAAAAAACATCCTGACCCCTCTGTACTTCAATGCTCCTTCCCTTAGCTAACCGCTGCCCACACTCCAGCACAAGCAGCAGGAACCAGGAGCCTACCCAGTGCCCAGCCCAGAGCACTGCACAGCTCACCAACCAGCCACGAGGCATACGCTGGAGGCGAGCGTACCAAACCTCACCATTATGGCAGCTTGGTCCATTCTCCCCAGACTGAGGCTCTCCCTACAGCTCCTCAGGCTTTCAGTGACCACACCTCAGCTCCACCCAGCTTCTCGCACACTGCGTAATTCCATATGCCATCCACAGAGCCTCTGCTGGTGCTGCCCTCCCAGGGATGACAGGGAGCCTGGCTCAAATGCCTCTCAGTATGCATTGCCAATGACAGAGAGCAGCAAATCCTCCTCACATGCCCTACCTTGCTCTCCATTCACTCTTTAATCCAACCTGCCAGAGTGCCAGTTAGCCAATGCAGCTTGCCTGCAGAAACTGTGCCCTCTTGTGCCTCAGGTGTCTGTGCTGTCCTGATGCAATTCCTAAGGGCATGGAAAATGCATTTTTAAAAGTGCACAAGACAGCATTCTGTCCTTTGCAAACTCCTTAATTCAAGGTGCCAGAGCCCACCTCTGCATCACTTCCAAGGAAGTGCCCTGTAGCATGTGATTGTGGGTGTGGGCTGCCAGGGTCCAGCCAGGGGGAGGACACACTCAGAGCTCAGACTGCCAGGCATATGCTGACATGGCAGGTTTAACAATGGCGCACAGCCAGAATACCCCATCATAGATCCACACCTGTCACAAGGTGATCCAGGGAGGGACCTAAGGCCCGAGGCAGGGGGACTCTGCTGCCACTCCCCAGCCGTGGCTCCATGTTCTCACCAGGCGAGCAATGCAAATCAAGGAGACAGAGCACGCAGGGCAATAAGCCAACCTGGCACGGTTATCAATCGGCTAAACAAGGTCGTTTCTTTTTTATTTTGCAGTATCATTTCATACAAAAGCAATAGAAACACAACAGTCTTAAGTTTACAATTGAGTATCTGAACAGAGAATCTGTACATGTTATCATTTACAGCAATTTTACATGGTAAATTAACTGACCGTAAAAAAAAATTTTTTTTTTAAAAAACACATTCTTTCTAAATCTGTGTTGCCTTAACTCCCAGGGTACTATAGTTAAGATCCTAACTAGGGCTATTTACAAGTACCAAATTAAAACTATATATAACTTATAAAAACCTGTTAATGGTCCAATTTAACATCTTTGACTTTCAGAGTTCTGTATGAGAAATAAAACTTAGTTTGACATACTGATAAAAGACCGGAAAGTAAGTATTCAAGAAGTCACCTGAGGCATCTGCCTCTGAGGATACTATCAGACACCTTAGACAAAACTAACTACACTGAGCCCACAAATCCACAGTCAGATCGCAACCCACCAGACGAGCAGTGACTGGCAGCTGAAGTATACTTGTGAGTCTGACTTGAAGCACAGAGCTCAGCATGCATTAATCAACTATGCTTGTTTCAAGATTGCATCACCTTCCCCAGATTAAGGTCCACTGACAATTTAAAACATGCAGAACATACACTGTACAAATAAGGCAAGAATAACAACTCATCATATGTGAATTATTAACAGAGACACCATCCAGGCAGAAGTGCATACTAAATGCGTTGTGCCGGGCTGGCCTTCCCCAGGCCAAGCAGAGGCAACTTTCTCTCAGTGGCTGCCAGGTGGCAGTTAGCTCATGGTGGAGAAGTCTTTCAGAGGTTCAGTCAAACAAGCTTCCAAATCAAATTCATCTTCTACTTGGCAGTCCATGTGTCTGACTTTGGTGGGTGTTCCAGCGTAAACATCCTACAAAACAAAAGGACAGGGCTGGGTATTTAGCTCAGTGGCGTAAGTGCCTGCCTGGCAGGCGCATTGAGTTTGACCCCGGGTACCAAAAGAAAAAAGACAGGTTACACCGACAACAGTGACTTGCCCAATCTGCACATATGGACAGTTTACTAACAAGCAGTACCCCATCAAGGATCCATTCCCTGCGCTGTGGTGATTAACTTGTGGTGAGCCCACAACAGCATCCTTAATCTCAGGAGACAGAGTGGAGTATTCAGCAGCCGAGCTCCATCACCACTTACAGAGTACACAGAAGTTCCCAACAGTTGCAGAACTGTGCTGCTCTAGGTGCTTCCTCCTACCAGCCTTTTCCCCTCCCCTTGGCACTCACCTGAGGCTGCCTGAACTCCCTAGCCCCTCCTCCCAGCCTAGCTCCCTGTTCTCAGTGTGCACAGCTTTGCTTCCCTTCCTGAGTGTAGCTTAGCCACCCCTAACCTGGTGCTGCATGCAGTCCGTCCTAGTATTCCCTCAACTGGACCCATAGTTGCATTTTTAAAAATTATAAAAGTCACTCTTGGTAATAAATATTCACAAAACTGGGCTCAGCTCAGAATCTTTTTCTGAGTTCTGAGTTCTGAGTTCCAGGGATGGAACTCAGACCAGGCTTGCAAGCAGGCGCTTTTATGCTGCTAAGCTAAATCCCTGGCTCAGGTTACAATCTTTAAAAATTCATCAACGGTTAAACTTTGACAATTTCTCCACTTTATTAAATAGTTTTCAAACATGTGATCTGAGAGGCACAGTCCCTCAGAGCTACACATCACTTCCCAGCTATCACAACCAGCCTGCGTGATTACAAATGGTCAAGTCAGCACAGGCACTGGGCTCCATGGGGACACAGGTGGAAGGGAGAAGACAGTGCCTTTGTATGTTCAAATGTGACAAAGTAACTTTTTTTTTTTTTTTTTTGGTCTTTTTCCTTTTTATCGGTACCGGGGACCGAACCACGACTGCCTGCTTGCAAGGCAGGCACTTATGCCGCTGAGCTAAATCCCCAGCCCGACAAAGTAACTTTTAACAGCTTACAACAAACGCTGTTTTGTTGCTGTTGTTGTTTAATGCTTAGGTTTTTAATCTTTCACCTGATTTTTCATTTAAGATGGTGGGGGGGGGCATGTAACTTCAAAATACAGGGGAACCACAAACAGAGCATCTCTTAGTAACATTCAGCAGTTAACTCCTATACTACAAAGTCACGCACACAGTCTACAGGTGATTGCCAGTGGTGACACACAGGTACATGCTGGACTCAAACTCACCCTTATGATGAATCTGCCATTCCAATGAGAAATATGGTAAATATTCCCCTTTCCACTATACCAGCATCCAATTTTAACACTAACTTCGACCTCAGCAGATACTGACAGTTTACCTCTGACACCCATGCTGAAAGAATCAAAGGAAGCACTTACGGAGTTATCCTGCGAACTCGCCTGGGACTCAGAGCTGCTTTCTATGAATTCAGTTTCCATTTCCCCCAGGTCCACAGGGTGTCTGCAAAGAAAACCCCATAAGCTGCGCTGAGCACTGTACAGGCTCCCACCATGCTCCCCAGTCCCCCAGAAGCGCAATTTCCAGTGTCCCACCTTTTTCCACTCAACCTCTCCCCCATCCATCTGGCACAAAAAGCACAGACAGCAACTACAAGTCAAAGAAAGATCTGCCCAACTCCAGCCTATTGGCACCTGCCATTCCCTCTCCTTTTTGTCACCCATGTTTGAGTAGGGACTGCAGCCTCCTGGGGAGTTGGGACAGAGCTATATCGTCCTCTGTTCTTTGCTTCCCCTTTGTCACTCTTCCCTTCCCCTCCTAATTCTTGGTCTTATTCTACTTGCAGAAGATCTACCTGTTTCCTGTTACTTTCCATTTTGTTCTTTATTTATGAGTTTCTCAGATAAGAGAAACCATGCAGGATTTAAGTTTGTGTATCCAATTTCACTTAATGTTGTTGTCAAGGTGCATTCATTTTCCAAGTGACTAAAATTTGTCCTTCTTTATTGTAGAGTAGTATTCCTGTGCACAAACAGCACATTTTCTTTATCCATGTGCTGATGGATATAAAGGCCACTTCCAAGCTTTATCTAGTAGGAATTAAGATGCTATAAATATGTAAGTATGTATCACTAAAGAAATAGCTGGGTTTCAGCCAGGAAACCAAGCAAACCCTCCCCACTAATGAGTGGCTCTGAGTGTGGCAGGCTCCAGTGGCCCAGGATGTGAGCCTCTGGCTTTTACTGGGACGGGAGCTACGCTGGGACCTGGAGCGCCAGGAAACCAAGCAACCCCTCCCCTGTGCCTGTTTTGTTGAACTTCGATATACATGGAAACATGGACAGCTATTTTGAAGAGAATGAAACTCTGCTACAGCTATTAGTGACTTCCCTATTGTCTGCTTTTGAAGACCTAAAACACCTTCCTCATTCTGTCCGGATCAGTTTTATACTATACTGTTTTGTATGAATTCTCTGTATGCAAAGACATGGACAACTATTTGGAAGAAAACGAGACAATATGGTAGTGAAGATCTCAGGTCGTCTAGCTTTGAAATTTACATCTCTTACATTACTTTCTTATGTTCTATTTTGTTGTGCTTAATTTTACTTTTTTGGGGGGGGGGGCCACTGGGGATCAAATTCATGCCCTCTCGCTTGCCAAGCAGGCACTTAAGCCACTGAGCTAAATCCCCAGCCCAATTTTACTCCCTTTAAAATAAAACAAATAAAAAAATAAAGAAATAGCTGGGTTCAATAGAATGTTTGCAGTTTTGTTAAGGACTCTCCACACTGATTGCACTATACTAGTGGCTACTAGCTTACAGTCCCAACAACAATGTAGGACTCCTCCTTCCCCTGCAGCTTCAGTGGCATGTTATTACCTAGCTGTTCTTTCTAAAACAATGGAATCTTTGTGTTAAGTTTTAAGGTGTTTGCAGAAACACCTAGCACAGATCACTAACAGTAGCTACAGTATTAACCAAATGTTGAGATCAGCAATAACACCAATTAGAAGGCACACACCATGCTCAAAATCTGTTGCTTCAGAGAACCAAAGGGCAGCTCTCTACTGGCAGAGCAATGCTGAACATTTTTTCATGTACCTATTTGCTGTCTATAATCCTTAAAAGTGTCTATTCATTTCATGTGCCCATTTTTTAAATAATCTTTATTTGGGGGAGATCTAATTTTGTTGAATTACTTAAAAATTCTAGACACTGGGCCAGGGATCTAGCTCAGTGGCATAAGCACCTGCCTGGCAAGCATGAGGTCATGCATTCCATTCCCAGTACCAAAAAAAAACTCTAGACATTAGCCCTCACTGAGGAGTAGGGTCCGTCTCACGCAATGCCCTTGCAATCATTATCCCCACCAACATATCACCTTTGCCAGTGCTTGCAGTGCAGAGGATGATCAGTGCCTTCTGCCTGCTAGCATGTACTCAACCTCTGAACAGGCCCACTTTATTTAGAGCAGTATATTACATTTCCCAGGCTGGCCTTAATTAAACTTGATATCCTCCTGTCTCAGCCTTCCCAATGCAAGGGACTACAGGTGTGCTCTATCACACTTCACTAGTAAGCCCCAACTGTATAGGAAACACTGCCAGAAACTATCATGTGTGATAGATAACTTTTCCAACTTCCCGCTCATGAAAATAGGATGTTGCTGTCACACTAGAAAAAAGCTGAGACCACCTTTGAGGTAAGATTTGCAGAACCATATTAAAAATCACTTCAGGGGCTGAGGATTTAGCTCAGCGGCATAAGCGCCTGCCTTGCAAGCAGGCAGTCGTGAGTTCAATCCCCGGTACTGATAAAAAGGAAAAAGACAAAAAAAAAAAAATCTCTTCAAACCACACTTGGGAGGCTGAGGTAGCAAGATTGCCAAGAGTTCAAGGCCAGCCTGGGCTACATAGTGAGACCCTGTCTCAAAAAACCAAAGAACATTTTCAAACATGCCAGTTTGTTCTCAATTTCTCAGATGAAAAGACACTTAAGTATTTGTCATATGAATAAATGTTTTTCTGAGGAAAGCAAAAACTCGGGATCAGAGAACTGGCAGAATAAGAAAAGAAGCATGACACCATCTTTGCCACATTCTTGGTCAGCAGATTCTAAACATGGCAGCATAAGCTGAGGTCTCAGATATCTCCAAGTAAGCACAAGTTGAAAAACTAACAGGAAAGGGCTGGGAATTTAGCTCAGTGGCATTAAGTGCCTGCCTGGCAAGCATGAGGTCATGAGTTCGATCCCCACTACCGCAAAAAACAAACAAACAAACCAACACTAGGAAGGGCCAGGCATAGTAGCTCATGCCTGTAATCCCAGCACTCAGTAGGCTGAGGCAGGAGGATCATTGTGCGTTCAAGACCAGCCTAGGCTACAAAGTGAGTTCAAGGACAGCCTGAACTGCATAGAGAGACCCTGCCTGAAAAAGCAAAAAAAAAAAAAAAAAAAAAAACCAACAGGAAGGACCAGGGGTTTAGTTCGGCAGCATAAGTGCCTGCCAGGCAAGCTCGAGGTTGTGAGCTCAATTCGTGGTACCAAAAAACAAAAACTGTGCAACATGAGCCAGGAGGAGAACAGAGCTCCAAAGATCAGGCCATGGAGGGACTCAGGCAGCTTATTCACCCGCCCTCTTGGTAAGCACCTGCAGCTTGAGCCTGGAGAAGAACCATTACCTGTGAGCCTACTGCCACTCGAGGTGAAAATCAAGCACCCTTCTCCCACCTGCCCACTCCCCCTTAGCTACTGGGGATAGATGTTTCAACATCTCTTGTAAGGATGACCATATAAAGTATAGCAAATATGGGGGATTTCCTTCTATCTTCTGTTTGAAGGCATAGGTTGTTTTCACTGTTTTGTTATGTTTCTTTTGCTCTATTCAGTATTCTCAATTGGTTTTACAATGTTCTATTTTTGGTTTGATTTTACAATACGTAATTGACTGGACAGCTATTGTTAAGTTAAAGAGATATACCATACTGCTTATTACTACTATCCCAGTATCCTACTGTGAAATTCTGTACCAATTTCACTGCATTGTCTCGATTGACTTTGTTCTGTCTTTTTTTTTTTTTTTTTGGTCTTTTTCATTTCATCGGTACCAGGGATCGAACTCACGACTGCCTGCTTGCAAGGCAGGTGCTTATGCGACTGAGCTAAATCCCCAGCCCTGGCTTTGTTCTGTCTTGTGCTGCTGCATTTTTACTACTTTCAAAATTTAAAAAAAAAAACATGTTAAGACGCATGCATGTGTAGAATCTATAAACAGTTAATGAGAACTGATCTTATGACAACTGATGAAATGAACAGATACTTTGAAGAAAAGGAGACACTAAAATAGCCAGTGCTGATCCTGGAGTGTCATAATGTGAAACCCAGCAATAGTGTTATTCTTTGTTCAGAGTGATATTAACCTGCTTGGGTTTATTCAAAGTCAACATAATTGAAGATATGGGTAACTGCATATATGTTTAATTGTATAGGATTGACAACCATATTTCTAAGTTTTTGTTGGATAGTTGAACAGAACTGGTTGCAATCTCACTGTTTGAATCCCCACTTTATATGCTCTACTTTAGTATCTTGAATAACTATTTGTAAGAAGACAATCTGTAATCATCAACTAGTGATTTCTTACCGTTTATTTTTTCTTTGAAATTATGTATTATTTCTAGCCGTTTTCTGTTTTTTTAGTCTTTCTTTAAATTCAGTTTTAAAAAGACACTACAGTACCCAGTGCTGATCATGGAGTGTCATGATATGAAATCCAGCAATACTATTATTCTTTATTCAGAATAATTTTAACCTGCTTTAGTTTGTTTAATCTAAACCTAAATGAAGATATGGATAACTGCATGTATGTTTTAAATGTATAGGATTGACAATCATGTTACTAAGTTTTTGTTGGACAGCTGATTATAACTTTTTGCAGTCTCTCTGTTTGAATTCCCACTTTACATGTTCCATTTTTGTACCTTGAACAACTATTTGTAAAACGACAACATCAACTAGTGATTTCTTACTGTTTTTTTCCTCTGAAGGTATGTACTATTTCTACCTATTTTGTTTTGTTTAATCTTTAAATAAAAATTAAAAAAAAAAAAAAAAAAAAAAAAAACAGGAAAAGAAAAAAGAAGTCTCCCTTAAGTCCAAGACCTAGCTAGCTATGGTGGCATACACCTGAGGCAGGAAGATTGAGTTCAAAGGCGGCCTGGACAATTTAGACTTTGTCTCCAAATAAGATTTAAAAACAGCAGTGGCATAGGTCAATAATATATACTGCCCTAGCCTAGGAACCATAAGGTTGCATGTTCAACCCCTATATCATACATACAAACTGTTAGGTCTGAGAGAAGGGAGAGGAGGAGAGAGAGGGAGAGAGAAGAAGTCCGTGGGAGAAATGGAGCGGACGGCCGTGAAAGTAGTGGGCAGCGGTGGCTTTATTCCGGGAATGCGGGGAGCCCCCCCACCCCGGGGGGGGGGGGGGAATCTAAATAGCCTAAGCTTAGGGCAGTGCCCTAAGGCCATTAGAGATGCACAGGTTCTTAAGGATGGGGATATAGGGTTACAGTCAAGTCCATAGGGGGCAGGGGGGGAGGAGTTTAGCTGTAGCCTTTCCTGGTTACAGTGTTCGGTCTGAGCCAGCAACTCTTTCACAAACCAAATAAAACAAAGCCACCACATAGCACTAGACTTCACAACACACAACTGTCTCAATGTGTCAAGCAGAGAAATGAGAAAGCAAAAAGACATACATTTCTTGCAAATCACATCCTTCTTCAGCAGGAGGGTCCCAAAAGTGCAGTGCCACCTTCCAGAGCTTGATCTGCTGGTCCCAGGATCGCCGACTGTACTTCTTAAATTTATTGGGGGTCTTGGGATGGATGCCAGGTTGTCGAAGGTGTCTGCAGGAAGAAAGCAAGATTACCCTAGCACAAACCTCACACCTACAGTCACTATATGATTAAACAAGACTTGAAGCTAGCATGGAAAAAAATTAAGAATAACTGAGATTCCACAAATAAGCAAAGTAACCTACAACAAAAGCGTCACTGGTGGCAGACGTCTAGAATCCCACCATGGGGAGGCTAAAGTAGGAAGACTGCATCTAGTTCAAGGCTGGGCTGGGCCACAAAGCAAGACCCTATCTCGGGGAAAAAATCCACCAAGTCTTCACTATTCCTTACAATTTGCATTCCTCAGAAGTAAACTGGAATCTCAATCCTGCCAAGAGGATCAAGAAAACTCAGGCTTTTTTAGTATCCTTCAGGGTCTATATGCTGCTTAGAGAAAATAGTGAAATGCCAATTTTTCTTACTAAATTCTTATAATCTTTAATTTGGGGGATTTAGCTCAGTGGTGTAAGTGCCTGCCTGGTCATGAGTTCAATCACCCATACCAAAAAATAAAAATCTTTAATTTGAATTTCATTTTTTGGCATTGTGGATTTTAGTAACTACACTTACAAGGCTGCTATGAGTCCTGACAATGAAATTCTACCTAACATTTGAGATTACAAAAATAATTTGTTTTTTGAAATAAGTTGTGACTATACACACATGTATGGGAGTTCAGGCTGCCTTGGATTCATGGCAATCCTCCTGCCTCAGCCTCCCAAGTCCTCGGATGACAGGCATGCACCACATACTAGGCTTGAAAATGATTACTTCTAGTTCTCATGTCCCAGGATTTTCAGATTCCAATCTACTGATTTGCACACAAACTCCTGGGAGTCACTAAGGTCGCACAGCACGTGGATCTAATCCAGTGTTAGTGAACCCACAGGTCATGTGCCACAGCAAGCTATTTGTATCACTGAAACTTCTAAAAGGTTTGCCAGCACTGTACTCCTAAATTTAATGCTGGGGGTGATTCAGGCCATGCCAATGAGACAAAACTACCTAGGAACTTCTTTAATATAGCGGTCATAGGCAATGGTGTTCTTCCCATAGTTGATCTGCTTCTGTCTTCTCATGAGGACACTTTCATCCGTCTCCACATCAGCAGGCACTGCACAGGTAGACTCCTTTGAGTCAGAACTGAAAAAAATTAGAAGTTAAAAGAACAAACATCAAAATTAAGATCACCATGTTAAAAAAAAAAAAAAAAAGATCACCATATAAATTAAACTATGACAAGAAATGCTCATTCTTCTGGTTTGACTATTGTCTCCTTTGGAAGTCCTGTAATGTTTACAATGCTTAAGTTTTATTGGCCTTGTTCTCTAATGTTTTGTTCAATTTTATAATACCTAATGAGATAGACAATTCTTTTTAAGGAAACAAGAGACATTATGGTAACCATTGTTGATAACCTTGTACTATTTTTACATCATGTGCTATGTCTATCCTTGGTTTTGACTGACAGCTTTGTTTTGCCATATTTGACTTTATTCTCTCCCCAAAAAAAAGTAATAAGAACTAAGGAGTAATAAAACCCAAAATGTGTAAATTTTGTTGTAAAAAAGAGAAGGAAAAAAAGTGCTCTAAAGGATACAACAGCAAGTGTCTTTAGGGGTGTTAAATAGCTGACCATATTAATGTTTTTGGTTGGATCATTGAGCTGTTTGCAGTCTCACTGTTTGAATGTCCACTTTGTATGCTTTGATACTGTGACTTGAGCAACTATCTCTAAGATGATAATGTCATCTATTAACTGGTGATTTCTTACTTTTTTTTTTGTTTTGTTTTGTTTTTGTAGTTCTGTATTACTTGTACCCTTACACCACTTTGTTTTGTTTTGTTTTTTCTCCTTTTCCTTTTAAATAAAATTAAAAAAAAAAAAAAAAAAAAAAGAAATGCTCATTCAACCTCTGGACCCAACCCTATTAATCCTAGGACAATGCACAATCTTTGTATACAAGGGATTCTAGTACATAGCAAATACAATTATTTCAAATCAGTGAAGAGGGGCTGGGATTTAGCTCAGTAGCATAAGCCCCTGCCTGAAAGGTGGTGAGTACAATCCCTGGTACCAAAAAAAAAAAAAAAAAAAAAAAGAATGCACAGTCAAATCAGTGAAGAACAAATTAACCAGTGAACACTATTAGGACAATCAGCATTTCTCAACTGTAACCTTTTTCATTTGCAAATTATAAAAAAATATTTAACAGGGCGTGGTTGCTCACGCCTGTAATCCCAGCACTCTGGAGGCTGAGGCAGGAGGATTGTTGCAAATTGGAGCCCAACTGCATAGTGAGCTTAAGGCCAGCCTGAACTGCATAGAGAGACCCTGTTTCAAAAAGGCCAAAAATAAATAAATTTTTAGTCAGGCTTGATGGTGCACGCGTGTAATCCCAGCACTTAGGAGGCTGAGTCAAGGAAGCACCACAACTTCAAGGCCAGCCTGGATTACACAGGGAGTTGCCAGCCAGCCTGAACGCAGTATCAAGACCCTATCTCAGGGCTGGGGATTTAGCTCAGCAGCATAAAGCGCCTGCCTTGCAAGCAGGCAGTCGTGAGTTCAATCCCTGGTACCGATAAAAATGAAAAAGACCAAAAAAAAAAAAAAGACCCTATCTCAAATTTAAAAAATTATGTAACACGTACCTTCCTGACGAAGATTTTCTCTCTCTCCCAAAGTCATTTATGAGGAGTTTTCTTTTATACCTGAGAAAAACATTGCTGGTTTTACAATGATATAAAAAATAGTAACTAATACATCTAGGGCTAACAGCTACCAGGAATGAAACTTTCCTATGCAGTAGGGTCAGGATACATTAGTTTTATTACTTTTTTGGTACTTGGATTGAACCCAGGAGTGCTCTACCACTGAATTACACCACCTGATCCTCTTTTCAAGACAGACTCACTAAGTTGGCCAGAGTTGGCTTCAGGGTCTGGGGTTATAGCTCAGCCACATAAGTACCTGCCTGGCAACAAGCTCAAGGTCATGAGTTTGATCCCTAGTACCAAAAAAGAAAAATACCAAAAGCAGAGTTGGCCTCAGCCTTGTTAGTAATTAGTATCAGAAGTATAAGTAATTATGCCCACCCCGCATTTTTTTTTTTTTTGCAACCACCATTTCTTTTACCTTTTTTCTGATAGCCTCCTGAGTGCTAGAATTACAGGTAATTACAAGCATGATACCCAGCTATCACTTCTTTCACTTTTAACCTCCTTCAGTTACATCATTTCATAAGATAGAACTCATCTGCCAAGATGTACAACCCCTTAAAAGTAACCAGTTGAGAAAACTGCCTTGATACCCTCAGGCACACCATCCTGTCACATAGAGGGGATCCCTCGGCCTGAAGAAATCCTGAGCAGTGTAATTAATCAGGTCTAAATTTCACTGGCAGGAAGAGGACAGGACAGGCAGGCAAGGCAGGCCTGCAATTAAGACATTTTTTTTTTCTTTTTCTTTTTTATCGGTACCAGGGATCGAACTCACGACCACACACTTGCAAGGCAGGTGCTTATGCTGCTGAGCTAAACCCCCAGCCCCAAGACATATTTCATCATCAGAATAAACCAGGATCTAGTCAGATCTGCTGGGCATTCATCAGCTCAACTTCCCTTGGTTTAACATACAGTACACTTTGATTAATACAAATCATGCTTTAACTCAAGTCAGGAAGCTGGCTTTGGATGGCATGCTTCCAAAACAGAAGGAGCAAAAAAACGTGATAACGTAAATCAACAGAAATAAAGTAACATTAAAGATGCACCCTCCAAATGGTAATGGTTAAAGGAAAAGCCATTCCTGATTGTAGGGATGGAAGTCCCGAGCACAAGGACCCTCCCCTGTACCCTGCTCTCTGAGCTGTGTTACTCAGCCAAGTGCCACTCAAAGCATATTTTGTGCATGGTACATCACAATAGCTAGAAAAGGTTCCCAACCAAGAGGAGGGAAGGTGCAGCTCAGTACTGTAGTAGAGGCTCTGCCTGAGGCACAAAAAAAAAAAAAAAAAAAAAAGCAAGAATGCTGCCCACCAGGCAATGGCAATTTCCAGCACAATTTCACCTACTCTCAATCTTGAAAGGATTATTACTAAACCAATTATCTCCACACTGGAGAGCTTCTTTCAGTATGGCTAGAATTTGCCCTACACAGGCCACAGGGCACAGAGAATATGCATTGTCTAACAAGTTCCTAAATTAGTCTGCTACAACTGGTCTAAGAATCAGATTTTTGAGAAGCACTTCAGTAAGATATACCTTAAATCAAACAATAATTTAAAAACCACACACACCTGTAATCCCAGCGCTCAGGAGGTTGAGGGAGGAGGATCGCCATAAATTCAAGGCCAGCTTGGGCTACAAAGTTCAAGGCCAACCTGGACTACATAGTAAAACTGTCTCAAATAACAAAAAAAAAAAAAAAAAAAAAAAAATCCAAAGGAGTCCAAAATGTGTACCTGGCAATTTCTTTGTTAACTCTGGTCCTCATTTCATCTTCTTCAACTGCACTTGCCCAGTCTGAGCATCTAGATCGGGTCTTATGGGCTTCAGGAGTGGTAAAGCTGAAATAAAATGGAAATGCACCTCAAAACTGGGAAAGGGCTTTCAGTTTCCTTTTCAACAGGTCAAGATACAGTCAGAGGCTGTTGGGCAGAATGTCAAACAGGCTTGGAGGTAAAGCCAATGTCAAAGATAATCACTGCTCCATAACTTAGCAGTTAAGTTGGGAAAATTCTCTTCAAACTTTCCTGAACTTCATCAGACAACTTCTTCCCAATCACTGTGTGTGCCCAAGTGCTGGCTAAATCACGACAGCACAATCCACTGAGGAACAGGCAGACAAAGTCTGTTTTTCAGATGCCTATGCTTTAAAACACACACCAGTTAAAAATGTATCTATGTCCCTGAGTCCTTGATACTTAAATGTGACTGTATAGTAAAAGAGCACATCTAAAAAGAGCACATCTATATTGGATCATTTTTGTTTTTGTGGTGCTGGTGATCAAAACCAGGGTCTTGTGCATGCAAGGCAAGACTCTACCACTGAGCCACATCCCTAGCCCTGGGTTATATCTAACCTAGGAACTCAATTTCATCTCAGAGTCCAGAAAACTGGCAATTTGAAAACTCAAGGATTAGCACAAAGAACTCTAGCTGTAACTATTCCCCATTATTTACAGATTAGATATAGACTTACATTTCTCTTTTTCTCCCTCAATTACCTGTTAGCTCCTTAGGGTACACCAAAACTAGACACTAGCATGGTTCTACACAGCTATAACTCCAGCTACTTGTGTGTTTCAGGTAAGAAGATCACAAATTTTGAGCCTGGCTTGGCCAACTTAGCGAGACCAGTCTCAAAATCTTATTTTTGGTACCAGGGATCGAACTCAACCTGCCCCTTACCAGGTAAGCACTTGAGTCACTGAGCTATATCCCCAGCCCTCAAAATCCTTTTTAAAGGATAAAGATATGGGGCCGGGGATTTAGCTCAGTGGCATAAGCGCCTGCCTTGCAAGCAGGCAGTCGCGAGTTCGATCCCTGGTACCAATAAAAATGAAAAAGAACAACAAAAAAAAAAAGGATAAAGATATAACTCAAGAATGAAGCATTTCACTAACAAGAGACCCTAAGTTCATTAATGTTGGAAATACAGATTTTAAAAAATTGGACACTAAAAAAAAAGGACATCGATTTCAACTATAAAACAAAAAACTGCAATCTCTTATATTCTAGCTACAAACCAAATGCCATGTTTAAAATTTTGAAAATGCAATTTAAGTAATACATGAACAACAAAAAAAAATATCAAATGAATCTTTTTATGGATTACTTCTCTTACACTATAGAAATATACTTAAGCACCTGCCTGGCAAGCACGAGGCCATGAGTTCGATCTCCGATACCAAAAAAAAAGAAAAATATTTAAATTAGATTTTAAAAATAGAAGTCAACCAGGCCTGGTGACACACGCCTGCAATCTCAGCACTCAGGAAGGTGAGACAGCAGAAGGTAGAAGGATTGTTAAGAGTTCCAGACCAGTCTGGGCTACAAAGTGAGCTCAAGGCCAGCCTGAACTGCATAGTGAGACCATGTTTCAAAAAGACACACCCCCCTCCCAAAAAAAGTCAGGCATAGTGATACAACTGTAATCCTGAGATGCTGAGGCAGGAGGATCTCAAGTTCAAGCCCAGCCTGTGAAACTTAGAAAAAAAAAAACCCGTCTCACAATATACACATAGGATCAGGGCTATTCAGCGCAGCTTAACAGGGCCTGCCTGGCAAGTGTGAGGTCATTAGTGTGATTCCTGGTACCAAAAAAAAAAAGGATGTAAACAAAAATAAAAAATTGGGGGACAGGGATTTAGCTCAGCAGCATAAGTGCCTGCCTTGCAAGTGTACAGTTGTGAGTTTAATCCCTGGTACCAAAAAAAAAAAAAGCAAATAAAAAATATATAGGATTAATAACCATATTTCTAAGTTTTTGTTGGACAGTTAAACAGAACTGGTTGCAGTCACTGTTTGAATCCCCACTTTATATGTTCCACTTTAGTATCTTGAATAACTAATCTGTAATCATCAACGAGTGATTTCTTACTGTTTTTTTCTTTGACAGTATGTAGTATTTCTACCCGTTTTATTTAGTCGTTCTTTAAATTTAAAAAATTTTAAAAAATGGAAAGGTCTGAAAAATTCAGCAACTAACTAAAAGTTAAATGGGCTCAATAATGCTGTCACAGATTAGAGTATGAATCAGACAAGCTCTCCTGAAATCTATCCCTAAACTGCCCAACCCGACAGTAGCTATGTACTCTGTGGGCCCCCCTGAGCTACTCCTTTAGCTTCCTGTCCCATTCTCATAGGTTACCTTGTCCAGCTCGCATCCTGAGCTTCCTGGCATGATGCTTAAACAAGAAAAAGCTCGAGGGAGGAAGTGCAGCGACAGACGCTCTCACAGCACACCCTACGAGGACGCAAACTCGAGCTCCGCCTCCGTTTCTGGCTCCCAACACCTCTATGACTCGAACATAGCATTTACCTTCTCAAACATCGGTAAACAAAACAACCAAGTGTGTGGGGCGTTTTTAAAAGATGTTCACAAGGCTGTGGTAGCCTTCTGTAGCCTAACAAAACCTAACCGACCTGTTCCGGTTGAAGCGAGTTTTGCTGCCATCTATGCCTGTAAAGATGCTCTCCCGATCAAGAGCTGAAATCAGTCACCGAACTGCACCTCCTGAGAGCTCGACACGGATGCCCGCCCGGTACCGCCCGACAGCCCGAATACCTCACCTCTCGGGCCTGTGATCGACGCGGTGCTCGTCCTCCTCTGGTTTCCGGCGCCTCCCGTCGGCTCTGCGCTTACGCCCGAGGTTCCATCGCGCGGAAGATGGCGGGCTGCGGGGCGCGCGGTCGGTCCGGTCGGACGGGGCCGAAGATCCGGCCCCGGGCCCACCGCACCTCAGGAACCGTCCCTACCCGCCCCGCGCGGCCTCCCACGGGCCTCCGCACCTCAGGAACCATCCCCACACGCCCCACACAACCTTCCCCGGGTCCCGCCGCCGCGCACAGTCCACTCACCTGGCGTAACTAGGCGGACTTCGCGGCCGGCAGGCCATGGCCGACTGCGGAGGACTAGCGGTGGCGGGCGGAAACAAGAATCCTCAGCGCCGACGCCGACGATCTCAGCGCGCGATCCGCCCCCAACCGCCCTTATGAGCAATAGGCCCCGCCCCTCAGCTCTCCCGCGCGCGGGGCAAGGCGAAACCAATATGCTCGCACCGGTAGGGGGAAGCCCACGCAAGAGCTCGCGCCTTGCGGAAGAACAGGATTTGGACCAAGGCCCAAAGGCCGTGAAGAACCGCGGGACCTCAAAGTCGAAGGCTGCCTCCCGGGAAAACCGGACGACGGCGCCAGCTTCGCCGAGGAAAACCAAAGGAACTATCGGCCCCCACAGGCTTGCAGGCGGCCGGCGCCGCGGGTGTCCGAGAGCTGATTGGTCGCGCCTTCGCGGGCGGAGGGAATATTGGCGGGAGATTCGGCCGCCCGCGTTCCGGTCGCTCGGGAAAGGAAGAGTAAGTCGCCTTTCTATTGGTCCATCGGTGCGGGCGTGTCCACGATTGGTCAGCCCATCGTAGGCGCGCCACTGATTAGCCCGGTCTGAGCGGCGTGTCTCCACGCCGATTGGACCTCGGAAGGCTCAGTCTCCGAACTGATTGACTTCGCCCACGAAGCGGTGGCTATTGGTTTGCGGTCTCTGGTCTGTCGCTCTTTTGGGTTCATGTTTGCAGTACTGGGGCTTGAACCCATGGCCTTTTCACTGAGCTTCATCCCCAGCCTTTTTGGAGACAGTGTCACTGAACTCCCCAGGATGGGCTCAAATTAGGGATCGTCCTCCTTGCCCTGGAACCTGCGATTACAGGCAGGCACCACCACCATTAAGGCGGGCCACTCCTAGTTCCTTGGGTTTAAACCATTAAAAAGCTTTGGAGGGGCTGGGGATTTAGCTCAGCAGCATAAAGCGCCTGCCTTGCAAGCAGGCAGTCGTGAGTTCGATCCCTGGTACCGATAAAAAGGAAAACGACAAAAAAAAAGCAGCTTTGGCGTAATATCTGAGAAAGGCTGGACGTGGTATCGCACACCTGTAATCCCAGTACTCAGGAAGCTGAGGCAGGATAATTTCTGTGAGTTCGAACTGCATAGCAAAACTGTCTAAAAAAGGAAAAAAACCAGGCAGTCAAAAAATGGGCCAATACACTGTTGCACCCCTGCCATCACTGATCTACACCTCCCCCGATCCAGATGCACACAGCCTCAGTATTGGAGGCGCGGTTCACCCAGTGTGTGAAGGTGACTGAATCCCAGGCGGGGGACCCTAGACTACCTGGAGTCTTGTCCCCGGATGAAGGTGGCTCCAGAGCCAGAGCCAACCCCCTGGGAAACCTGAGGGTTCCAGTGCCCTGCTGGGCCCGCTGTGAATGGATTGAGGCTGAGGATGTTCCAGCCAGACAGGTAGTGGGGTCGACATCATAGAGAAACCTGGGCATGAGGGCTGGTTTTTGGTACTTGCTATCCTCGAGTCAACCTTTATGTGTCCCCTACCGATTTTCCAACTCCACAAGGAATCCCACCTTCCCAGCACAGCACATTCCCACCTGCTTTCCCTCTGGACAAAATGCTGTCGAACCATTTCTAACCCATCTTTCTCAGTACCTCCAGTCGTTGCCCCAAATGTTAAAAAGATTTTAACGTCTGGTGAAGCAAAATGGACCACACTTAGCAGTAATCTTTTATTACTGTATTATTTAGCTACATTTTTATTTACAAAACTAATTTAACTTATGGAAAAACGAACCCTAATGAACCTAACCCCTCCTAGAGAGTCCCCAAAACTCTGCTGACTCCAGGGCTCCCACAGCAGTGCCCCAGGTACCCCACCCCACCCCCAGAACTGACCTGTGAGCTTGCCTAGGGCCAGGTGCAGGTGGGAAGTAGAGGCAGGCTGGGCTCACCTAACATGCAGTGAAGTGTCACAGCTGTGCCCAGTGTCTCCCACCTGCACCATATGGAGCTGACAGTGTGCCCATCAGAGGCTTCATCACTGGGTACATCCTCTCCTGAGCTAGGGAGATGTAGGCCTCAAGCTCAACACCCTCCCAGAAGACATAGGTCTAGGTGTTGCCGTGGCACCCAGGGCCTTAGTCCTGCAACACCTTTACACTCCGCCCCACCCCTGCCCTGGGCCAGGAGTCTTGAGGCTTTGGCCTTCTGTGGCCTGTAGGAGCAGGAAAAGGCACCAAGTGCACAATGAGGACCTCCAGGCACTGAATGAGTCCCATAAAGGTTCAAGAACCACCTAGCCTGTCCCCAGGTTGTCACACCTGCTTCCTGAATGAGGTGGCCCCTCAATTTCCTGCAGCCACCAGGAAGCCTTAGGCTGGGCCAGCACACAGGAGTGACACCCCATTCCCCCCTCTACTGCCAGGCTCCACCCCAAGTCCCCCCATTACTGGCCCTCCTTACTGGCCTCTGTGTCAGTAAGTGACCAGGCTGGCCTGTGTGTCAGTAAGTGGCCAGGACTGGAGAGCAGATGTGGGTGTGGCTTATAATTTAGAGCAAATATGCTCCATAAAAATTAAGGCAGAGTGACAGGTGAAGGCCATTCAGGGGTCCTGGGCCCTGGAGATCTCAATGTGGAACACCTGTCCCACCCAGAGGCAGGTCAGCATAAAAGGTGCTGAATGCCCTGGGAAGAGGGATGCAGGTGGTGAGCCTGGCATTGAGCCTTTGGCAGGGACCCAGGACACCAGCTGCTCCCGAAAGCAGCTGGCTGGAGACAGAGCCGGGCTCAGATCCCCAGAGGCCCCACCAACCCTGTAGTGATATTCAGCGCACAGTGCACACATCCAGGATGCAGAAGCGTGCCCGGCAGGTGGGGCAGGGCACACGGCTGGCCAGCCAGGTGTCAGGATGCTGGGGGTCCTGGCGGCTGGCAAACCACTTGCCCATGCAGGTGAGACACCACATGGGGCGGCAGTAGCACTGCTGGCACTCCCCTATGGCTGGCTCCTGGCAGGTCTTCACCAGCTTCACACTGGCTCGAGTCTGCATGCAGCCAATGCAGGGCTCCAGCTCCTGCAGGGGGCACAAGAGTCACAAGAGTCCAGCAATATGGGCCCAGGGAAGGCAGCCCCACCCTCAGGTCTGGCCCCACCTGGCTGCTGGGCATGGAGTAAGCCGGGTTGACCTCCACCAGGGAGGCAAATGTCTCCAGGAACAGGTCGCCCAGGCTCTGATGGATGACCACATTGGCCGCGCTACGGATGGGGGCCTGGAGCTTCTCACACAGCTCGCCATACTCTGTAGAATTCAGCCTGCAGGAGGTATAGCCCATGGTTCCTCAGCCTGGGGCTATGGAGAGGTGCCCAGAGCAGTGGGCAGCAAAGATGCTCACAGTCACCCACCCTGAGGGAGAAAAAGAGCTGGGAGCCAATGCCACCCAGTTGCAACCCCAATCTGTCCCAGCCAGTGTCCTAGGAAGCTGCAGGGATGTCTGAGACAGCAGGAGGGACAGTATGTGTGGAAGCTGAGGCAGTGGGGCCCTGAGTCAGGGTGTCACACAGGCCCCAGAGAGGCATGAAAGCCAGCGAGTGCTTACCGGATATCAAAGGGCTGCACAGCAGGGCTGATGCTGGCCACGTGGATGGTGAGCAGCTGCACAGGCAGGTTTGAGTCTGGCGAGAGCTCGTGCTGCCGAGACTCTGTCACAATCAGGTGCACGTCCTGCTGCTGGGCCACATGCACACGGTATGTAGTCACCTTCATCACCCATGTGTCTGTCACAATTACACGAGCACCTGACGCCCCAGTAGCAAACTTGTCAATACGACGGAACTCAGTGTTGATGGATGAGGCGACAGCTCGCCAGCCCAATTGCGGGAGGGCGTAGAGGGCCAGGGTGCGGGCCAGCGGATGGTAGGCCCACCTGTCCCGGGACCAGTAGTAGATCAGAGTGCAGGCAGCAGAGGGAAGTGCCACAGCCAGTATGAGGAAGAGCTGCCAGGCCTCTGAGGCCTGGCTGGGAGAGTAGAGCTGCTTTTCTGAGGCTGCAAAGCACATGCCCACATAGTAGCCTGCAAAGAAGAAGGCTCTTCAGGGTGGGTCAGGGCTGCTAGGGCCCATGCTCTCTCAGTAATGGCCATCACTGGGCTGGGAGAAGGCAAAACCCATTTCCACTCTTATCACTTGCCCTGGGCCTGGCCCTCTGCCCTGGTTACCTCCCAGGACAGAGGGCCTCACCACCCCCATATCTTCACAGCAGACCTGGCTCAGCTAAGTGATCACAGCACTGGTACTATATGTTCAGGGAAAACATTTTCAACTTAGTTTTATACAACACATAAACGTTTTTGGGGGAGGACCCCAAAACCCAAAATTATAAAATACAGGCACCTATAATGATCTGGTGTCACCTTTAACAGAGCTGCACCCTGACCTGCTTCAGGGTCCTGTGGACCAAGGCATCTAAGGGACAACTTGAATGTCAAAATGATTGATACAGCAAAGGGTGGAGGACTGCATGGGCAGGCTGCAGCTTGCAAAATATGATAGTAAACACTTCTTTCTGGCCAAACCACTATATATTAAAATAACTTGTCATGCTGCAGTAAGTAATGTCTATAAAGCTTGCAAGCTTTCAAAACTCACAAACAAAAGATAGTGACACATTGAGACAGTAGGCTGGCTCTGCTATCTGCTCTGGCATCCTACTATGGCTTGTGCTCCCCAAATTTGCGTGTCCAATTTGTGCAAGGGGGATCCCACAGCAAGAGTACCTCCATCCCATATCTGCTTCCAGCTCTGCAGTGTGCAGGCTGCTGCATTCTCACACCCACACTTCCTGTCTCCACAAAGCCTTCATGTGACAAGCCACCCGTCATCTGTCCTCCCAATGACAATCTTCTGCCTGTCTTCCAGAGGTCTCCCATCTTGTTCCCCACCTCTAGCTTCTGCTATGCCTCCCACCTTGCTCCCCACCTCTAACTACTGCCATGTCCCAACACTGCCCTCAGTCCACCCTCCAGCCAGCTCACAGACCCGCCTTCCTCAGCCTCCTCTAGCACCTAGGATACTGCCCTAGCACTTAGGCCTGTGTACTTGTCACTCCTAAACTCGACTGCCCACCTCACCTGCTCTCTTCACCCCCCACCTCCCAGGCCCCAAGGTAACGCTGCCCTCCAGCATCTGTAATGCACCTCTGTGTCAGGAAGGCTCAGGACTTGAGCCGCTCACTGGGCCGGAGTGTTTCTTTCCCTTGCGAGCCTGGTAAAAAGCAAAGACCCCGACACTCCTGCCCGCTCGGCCTGGGCTTACGCTAGGGTCGTTCCCCAGGATGGCCTGGCCGCACCGATGGCTTCTGGGCCGTGGTCCAGCAGCCAGCACCGCGCCTGACTCGCCCACATTGGCGGCTCACCGAGTGGCAGCAGTGAGTGGCACAGCAGTGTGGCGGCCGTGCGGCGCAGGTGGTAGGACACGAAGGCGGCGTCCTCACTGCCCAGCCAGCCGGACAACAGATTCTGCACCGTGAGCCCAGCCGAGTGGAACTCGTTGGGCGTAAACACGAAGCATACGGCGAAGACCAGGTAAGCCAGCGTAAAGGTCACCTCCGGGCTGTCCATCGCGCCGCCGCCCCACAGCAGGTAAGAAGCCGACACGTCCCGTTCGGGGAGATCGGCAGGTTGTGGTCATTGCAGACGCAGTTGCTTTTAGTGGTGGCGTCGCCACCAGGCCTCCCGCGGGGCACTCTGGGAGTCTGGGGAGCCCCCTCGCTGGGCACGATGGGAGACCGAGTCGCCTCTTCACGGCCGCTCGCATGGCCTTCTGGAAGACCGAGTCTCCTGCGGGCAGCACACAGGGCATTCTGGGAGGGTTCTCAGGGCGCCTCTCCAGTGGGCTACCTTGATAGTCTCCGAGAAGGTGCCAGTTTCTTGTCACGAGCAACCCTACAGGAGGTGCTAAACCGGGTTTCATTTCACAGCTGAGAAAACTAAGGCTTAGTAAGCGGGTCTCTAGCCCCGGCTACGACGCACAGCACACTCGCGTCCGCGGCAGAGACCAAACCTCCCAGGGCGATGGCGACCCACCCCCGCCCGCCATTACCCACTCGCGAGCAGCCATAAATAGCCCGGACGGCCCACTACTCCCAATTTGCCCTGGGCCCCAAAGCGGAACTCTTGGGGGGGGGGCGGGTCTTACAATGAGGCCTTCTATTGGTCCCTGGTTCCCAGCTGTCCGGTCTCCGACCGCGAGCTGATTGGCCGCGCGGCGCCAACCGTCCATATTTGAATTCTCAGGCGCGGCAGATTTTTGTCACGAACTAGAAAGGCAGCTTGGCGTCCTTCGGCTTGCAGTATTTACGTGGCGTGCTTCTTTTCTCGTGGGGGGCTGCAGCGCAGGCCCACAGTGGGGCAGCGGCGGGCAGGTAGGCGGCAGCCGCTGGGATCCCAGGGGGCGCGGGAGGACTGGAGTCCTGAGCTGCGCAGACGCCGACTCTCGCCGGGCTGCATTCCCGGAAGGCCCGGGGAGCCCGCCTGAGCCGCATCGCGGACTCGGGTCCCCCTCCGGACGGGGCCTGAGCGCGACACTGCTCTCCCTGCGCCAGCCTGGCCGCGCCCTCCTCCGCAGGGTCTCTGGCTCCAGCAGCTTTCCTCCTCTCCGCCGCTCATCGCGGGAGGCCGGAATTCATCTGCTCAGGCTCAGTGCTGCTCCATTTTCTTCTGCGTCTCCCTACTTGGGCTTTTGCCATTGTCTCCGGGAAACTTTCTTGCTTGCTGGTTCTTTGTCACTCTCAGTCCTCCTGACACGCCTGACTCCGGCCTCGGACCCCGGTGACTTCTCTTGGAAACGCTTTCTTCCTGCTTCCCAGCGGGCGGCCTCCTGCCTACCGGTTTCTCTCTTTTCCAGCAGTCTCCAGTGAGTGTGTGCATCAGAGTTCCTCAAGGCCAGGCCACCACCTCTTCTCCCTGTCGGCACTAGCCATCAAGCAACCTTTTACTTAAGATCCCACCTGCGGGCCAACTGGCAGTCCTAAGAGCTTGATCATAAACACCTGATCATAAATATACCACCAGGCCTCACTGTACTGCAAAGAGCATCGAAGCTCAAACCTGGCTTGTCACTCCTCTGCTCAGTCGGCCCCAGGAGCCCTTATCAGCAAAGGACCCATTTCAAGACTTGAGCGCACTGTTCCTGCCACAGTGGCTTTCTCTAATCCATGTGGCCTAGAGACCTCAGCTCATGCTTCCCACAGCTACCCAGTGCTCTCTCCTCACTCTGAACTACACCTAGGCTTCTAGAGCTAAAAACCTACTATTGCCAGTGATTCCTATTTTTCCATTTGGCACATGTACCATGTACAAGCTAGGTCCAAGCTCTTCTCCCCAGGCTGCAGGAGACTACTTTCATCCCTTTCCCTCCTTTCTTTCCATGTCCATCCACTTCTCTCCATAGTGGGCTTCTCAGATCAAGTCAGCCACAGCCCCTCACTGTGCTGACCCCTCTCTGCTCTCCTGCATGGTGAGTGCAGATGACTGAGTCCTGCTCTCCTGTTCTGTGGTCTTGGCCTCAGCTGCCCCTCATACTGGACTTGCAGAGGCCCCTGTAGAGCCCTAGTTTGTTCTGGCTCTTTGGTTCTCTTCCAGGCAAGGGTCTCCTCTAGCTTCTCACCCACAGCAGGATACCACAATAGAATCCTTAACACTGATTCTCTCTGCTTAACCTGAGCCTACTTAGCTCTTGGCCCAGGTGATGGCAGTGCTACCTTAAGTGGGACAGAATTCACCCCAGGCTTTCCAGCCCCACCTACAGGAAGGGGACCTCTCCCTTATACCACCATCACCATCTCTGGGAATGTATGGGTCATCTCTATCTAGGCAGTACAGTATCGTTGCCCTCACACTGACTCGTGTGTTCTGTTTCTCTAGAATGAGTCTGCAGATCTTAAATGATGAAATCATCACCCATGAAAAAAATACAGAAAACTGCAACATCCTGTTTTCGCCGCCAGCCCATACCAGAAGAACATCTGTTCTTGGTCTGTCACAGAAGGAGAATGTACCACCCAAGAACCCGGCCAAAGCCGCCAAGGTAAGAGTGGACTCTGGTATGTGCTCACGGGGGGTCTGCATGCCACTGCCAGTGCAGTTGTGAACAAGTACTCTGTCCTCACCCTCCCACAGGTGACTTTTCAGACACCTCTTCGGGATCCACAAACACATAAGATCCTAAGTCCCAAGATGGCCAGCAAACTCGAGACTCTTTTTGCTCTGGACGACACCATTGGATTAGAAGACTCTCACTATGCTTGGATACAGAAAGAGACGTAAGTGTCTGTACCATTTCTCTTTCTACTGATCTCTGCTCTGGGTGCATGCAGGGCACAGCCTGTATATCAGTAGGAAGTTAATCATCAGACCCTCAGTAAATTTTAGTTTCATACCTCACTCCTTTGCTGTCTCCTCTCCAATGAGTCTTTGTTTCTGTAACCTGACAAAGTATTCTGACCTCATCTCCAGGAAGATGATCTGCAGTCTCTTTCTCTTACAATTCCCTCCTGTCTTCCTTTGCTTGACATTGCTTCACTTTTCTACAGTCAGTGCTTGGAGAAAGCAGATAAAGAGTTGTAGGCAGAGAAACCCAAGCAATCCATTGATCAGAGCACACATGGCCCAAGAGAAGGGGCCATGGCACTTGTCCACTATGGGAGAAGCCCCTCTGCAGACAGACAAATTGCCTGCTGGGATGACAGACAGATGCTGAGGGTTTGCCAGGAAATAATACTTGACCATCTGCCACCAGGGACACATGTGTGTCCAGGACAAGGAGGGACTTCATTCTTGGCTTTGGAGCTGGGTCTGTGGTGGTGGTGGTGGTATTATTATTGTGAGTGGTGCTAGGGATGGAATCCAGGACCTCAGGCATGCTGACCAAGCAGTGTACCACTGAGCTGTATCTTTTTTTGTTTGTTTTTGTATTTTTTTTTCCCCTGGTACTCGGGGTTGAACTCACAACCTCATACGTGCCAGGCAGGTACTTAGGCCACTGAGCTCAGTCCCCAGCCTCCTCATTCTTTGCTGGGCAGTTGCTCAGTCTGGTTTAGAACTTGTGATCCTACTGCCTCAGCCTCTTGAGTAGGTAGGATTTACAGGTATGTCTTATTACACCTGGTTTGTACTGATTTTTGCTGATTTAATTATTCAAAACTCATTCAAACGGATTTCAGATATACAGAGAAAAGCATAAAGAGCAAGATACCACTACTGTGTTCTTCTCTAGTGGATTCTTCACTTAAACGGCTACCAAGTACAATGACATTTGTCTGGGCTACCTGCCATCTCCAGCCTGCAAAGTCACCTCTAACTTGAATCTACTGCTCTTCCTGTATATGTCCTTGCTGCTTTTCAACTCAGTGTTTGTACTCTGTCAAACTTGATCTGATGTGATCAGAGCAAGTCATTGTCCTGTTCCTACCATTTGCAGCAGGAAGCAAGTAGAGCTGGCAGCTGTGCTGGGTCTGACCAGCTTTGAGGCCTGACAGGGTCCTGCCTCAAACCTGGGCCTCAGGAGCCATGCAGCACGCGAGGGGGAGGGGACTGGGAAGGCAACCCTGTGAGGTAGTGTTGCCAGTGCACTTGACCTTGGTGGCCCAGGTATAGGTGTCTGCTGTGCTCCATTTGCATAATTGATTCACTGATAAGTCACTCTGGGGACAACAGATATTCAGGTAGTATCTTGTGGAGCTCGGGGTTTATGGGAGGAGACCATGGCTCATCCTCCAGTGTGGCTATGGTGGCAGTCTGGAAAGCAGGATAATAGCTGTGACAGGCCAGCTATATGACAAGTTCCTTACACCTGGCTTCTTAACCCTAAAGTTTTCCAAGTTGGAGAGAAATTGCAAGAATAGGGCTGTGAGCCCAGGGTGCCTTCTGCCTGGGTCACTAAAGTGACAGATCTGGCCTTTTCTAAGCAATGGGAAAGTCAAATGATACTCCTAAAAGCAGGCGTGGTGGCACACACCTGTAATCCCAGCACTCTAAAGCTGAGGCAGGAGGATCATTACAAATTCAAGACCAGCCTGGGCTAGAAAGTGAGCTCAAGGCCTGAACTGCATACTGAGACCCTGTCTCATAAAGACAAATGACACTCCATCTATCTCCCTGCTAGCTAGACATTATACGTGAGCCACAGCTGTAGTGGCTATTTTTTTTTTTTTTTTTTTTATGAAGTAGCTCATGAAGATGTAGTGGCTATTTAAAGGCAGATTTCTTTTCGTTTTTTGTGGTACTCAGGGCCTCTTCCCTGAGCCCTATCCCCGGCACTTGTTAAAATTTATTTTCTATTTTGAGACAGTCTTGCTGAGTCACTTAAGTTGTCCGAGATAGACTCAGTCCTCCTGCCTCAGCCTCCCAGAATGATAAGATTATAGTGCTGCCATACCCAGCCCTGAAAGGAGGTTTCTTGACCCCAGCTTTCCTCTTCTCAGTGCCAGACCCTCATGAGTTCTCGCCATCCTGGCCTCGAGGCTCTATACCCAGGGTAGCAGGGACCATGGCTCCATGAGAAGACCTTTGCTGGCACAGCTGACTCATTGTGCCTCTGCCCTATGTCTCAGAGCCCACCTGTCCCCCATTGCCACTAGCACTGATCTGCAGGGCTGTGTTTCTTGAGACCTGCAGCAACCCAGTATGGCTTTTGAGGTTCTTGGGGTTAAGGACAGCAAGAGGATGAGAAAAATAAAGAAAAGACAAAGTTGGGGTCAGGTGGAGCCCTTAGCCTCCTGATGGGAGGAAAGGAACTGCTTAACCAGCAGCATATTTATTTATACCCTCCAGAGAAGAATGTCAATTTCAAACCCACTGACTAGCAACTTGTTTGCCTGGCAGGCCTAGGCTCCTTGTCTTGGTGCTGGAACACCTTGTTTATGTAACTTGTTTTGGCCTCTCCTTTTTTCTGGGCTGGCCTTGCTTTAGCCCCACACATGATCAATCTCCAGCTTCAGCTGCTCCCTACAGAGACCTAGGCCAGAGGACAGGGCAGATGGGATGTTCTCTTTTCTCTCTGTTGCTCTTTTCTCTGTGTGGACTAGTGTATACTAACTGAAAAGTGTGGGTTCCTCCGCATTAACTAAGTCTGTTTCTGAAAAGCCAACAGCTCACCAAGGATATGGATACCAGGTTGCCCAGTGGAATTCAGAAGCCAGCTATGGCTTTTTCTGACCTTTCGCCAGTGGATACCACCTCGGCCTCTGAAGTTAACAGCTGCAGCAAGCCTGGCCTGGCACATCTGGCTGACCCAAGTGCCCCGAGTTCTCCCCAGAGGCCAGGAAGTCCTGAAAATCAAATGTCATCTCCAGGACAAAAGTCTGGCAGCACTGGCCACACCTTGAAGGACAGTGTTGGTTCAGACTTGTTGCCTGAAAGCATGCCCTTCACTGCTGAGGTCCTCAAAGACCCTCTTGGGACTGTACCCCAACACCAAGTGGGCACTCCTCCTAAGGCCTTGGAAGGAAGCCCCTCCAGCTCTACTCCACCCCAGGCTGCTGCTACTACTAAAAGCCCAGATGCAAGCTCACACCCTGCAGACCTGGCCAGCCCAGGTTCCAAGACAAAGGAGGCTGCCAGCCAAGTAGGCATTAACCCAAGGTGTGAGCCCATCAGACTAGAGTTTGACTTCTCTCATGGGGCAACCGGCAAAAAGGCAGTTCTACCACAGAGACAAGGAAAGAGGCCCAAGGAGAAGCAGCCACAAGACCCCAAGAAGGCAGAAGAGGAAGATAGGGCCAGAGGAGTAGACCAGATCCCCATGCCAGCTTCCCGGAGCTCCTACCACCTTGACTGGGACAAACTGGATGATCCAAATTTCAACCCCTTTGGAGGCGGCTCCACGTTGGCCAGCAAAGAAGCCCCAGCCCATGAGAACCCTGAGGCCAGATTGGCACCACCTGCAAAGGACTTGCATCCAAGCCAGTAAGTGGGCAGGAGACCATGTTGGACATCAGGGCCCAACTTAGACCCTCTGAGCAGGAGCTTTGGAGCAGACAGACTCAGGAGGTCCCCCAAGCTCTGTGCTCCCCAGAGCAAGCCTCAAGAGCATCTCCATAGGGCACCCTGGCTGCCAGTCATTATTGTGTATCTTCCAGCATGAGCCCTGCCTTGGGGACCCATGCAGCCGTGCAGGGGAGACGGGCAGCTGAGGTGCAGGGCATGGTGGGTGGCTCGCAGCCTTCTGCTGTCTCTTTCCCCAGGCCACCGTGTGCAGTCCCAGAGAGTAACAGGCCTGAGGTACAGATGGTGGCTGATACCCTAATCGCCAAGGACCAGGTGCAGGTGTGTACACAAGCAGGGTGTGCCCCACAGCAGTGCCATTGTGTTTGCATTGTGTGGGGAAAAAAACCCGGGTGGGATGTGCTGCTACCCTTCCCTCCCTCAGAGCCCCACTGGGGTCCTTAATGTCAGGAAGTGACACTGACCTCCCCCCAGGAGGGAGCCTGGAGCTGCTCAGATGCCTCAGCTTCCTCAGGTGGCGTGGATCATCTGCTCCAAGCCCCCTCCCAGCCCAGCCTACAGCCTATCCTGAACCTGGAGGAAGAGACCTTTCGAGACCCTGCTGAGGGTACGTAGCCTGGGAGTTCGCTCTTGGTCCCATGGGCACCTATTTTCTGTCACCTGGTTCAGCTGCATCACTCACAGGTGACCATTCTACAGCCTGCTCTGTTCCCCAACTTTAAATGATGTAGACACAGCATCTGCACCTCAGGATGGAGCTTCCTGGTGGGACAAGATGGATGCCTCCCCTGTAAAGGGCTGCTAGGGATAGAAATAGAAGACACAGAAAAGCTGGGGACATAGCTCAGGAGCAGAGCACTTTACTGAGTGCAGGAATCCCAGCACCACAAGAAAGAAAAAAAGGGGCCGGGGATTTAGCTCAGCGGCATAAGCGCCTGCCTTGCAAGCGCGTGATCATGAGTTCGATCCACAGTTCCGGTAAAAAAAAAAAAAAAGAAAGAAAGAAAGAAAAAAAAAGCTGGGGGAGAGAGGTGAGCCGGAAATGCACGGGTGAGATACAGACACAAAAAGCTATCAGATTCTCACCAGGGGCAGTGAGACACTGTTGAACTGCATGTAGTGAGAGCTTGTCACTGAATTAAAGGGCCTCAGTTTTGGTTGCTTGACTCAGTCTGCCAGGTGCGTTGGTACATACCCTTTTTTTTTTTTTTTTTGTCTTTTTTTCATTTTTATTGGTACCGGGGATCGAACTCACGACTGCCTGCTTGCAAGGCAGGTACTTATGCCGCTGAGCTAAATCCCCAGCCCTGGCACATACCCTTAATCCCAACACTCTGGGAAGCTGAGCAAAAAGATCACAGATTTAAACTCAACTTGGGCAACTTAGTAACAACAATTCCCTGTCTCAAAATTTTTAAAAAAAATTTTTTTTAAAAGGCCGCAGTTGTAGCACAGTGCAGCTCAGAGGTCAGGACCTGGCCTCTGTCCTCAGTAGGGTCCCAAACCCTACAGTCTTCGGGAAGGCAAGCAGTGGATGGAGTGTTTCCTGGCCTTGCTGCCTAGGGATGAGCTCAGCTGAGGCAGGCCTACGACCCTCCGTGGGCCCTGGAGTCCACACAGGATGCAGCCTTTCTGTCAGTGCCTTCTGTGGCACACTAAGTCCAGGGCCCACTGTGCCTTGGCAGCTGTCAGTGCATCCATTTGGCCTGTGTCCTCACTTAGCTGTTGTCAAAAGTGTTGCTGTGGACACCTAGGCACAAGCGTTCATGTGGATGCTTTCATTTGTCTGGGTGCAGGCCTGGGAGTGGAATCCCTGGATCCGTTGCCACAGTTCACTCTTAGAGGAACTATCTGCCTATTTGGGGAGAATAGCATTTTGTGTCCCCACCAGCAGCAGGGAGGGCTGTAGTTCCTCCGCATCCTCGTCACTCTTACCATCTCTGGCTTCCCAACTTGGTCTGTCCCAGGAGGGCAAAAGCAGTATTGGCTTTATCTGCATTTCCTTGATGGCCAGAGAGCAGCTTTTGAGCATCTTTTCATGCGATATTAGCCACTCAAATGTGTCTGGACAAATATCTATTCAAGTCCTTTGCCCGATTTGGAAATTGTCTTTTTAGTCCTTAGTTGTCCAGAACCTCTTAGCAGCTATGTGACTTGGACATACAGCTATTCTGTTGATGAGTCCCATGTCCTTAGATCCAGTCAGCCTTGATCAGTGGCCTTCTGCCCGCCAATACTAGAGACTGAATCTTGGGCTTTCACACTGAGCTGTATCTGCAGTCACTTTTTGTTTTGAACAGGGTCTCAATGAGTTGCCCAGACTGAATTCAAACATGTAATCCTCCTGCCTCAGCCTCTCAGTATAAATGGAATTACAGGTGTGCACCATTGTACTTGTCCCAGGAAACATTTTTTAAATTTGCCTCTACTGAAAGAGAGAGTGGAGAAAAAGGATTGCTCCCCCGGGGCACAGCAGTGGCCTCAGCCTGGCTCCCTTAGAGTTGAGAGCGCTGCTCACCTGCATCCCTGAAGCCTTGTGGTCCCACCCTGCCAAGCCCTCTGGGCACTGCTGGTACAGGGCCATCTGGGTATAGGCCCCAGAGAGGTGACAGTGACTTGACTTGATCCCCCTCAGTTCTAGGCACTGGCGCTGAAGTGGACTACCTAGAGCAGTTTGGAGCATCCTCGGTAGGTACCAGCCGATTGTGGACGTGTCCCTGTGGCACTGTCGCTAGAAACTAGCCTAATGATCAACACAGCACAGAAGTAGCTGCTCCACTCAGCGATGCCTGTGGTCCTAGCTGACTACCCTTCAGGTGCCCACCCCAAGAGGAGCCAGGGACATGCCACACTGCTAAGGCAGGGGTGTCACTGGCTCCTTACCCTCAAGAGCAGGTCACCCAGATCCCCAGAACAGTCACCCACGGGGACAGCAGTGCAGTTGCTGACCTGCCTGTCCTCCCAGTTTAAGGAGTCGGCCTGGAGGAAGCAGTCCTTGTACCTGAAATTTGACCCGCTCTTGAAGGACAGCCCTCAGCGGCCAGTGCCTGTGGTTCCAATGCCAGACAGGTGTGTGACCCAGAAAGGCAGGTGCCTGCCACTGGGTGCTTGAGTGATCAGACTTCTAGCACTGGGTTCTGGTGACAGGTAAGGGGTAAGGGATCCTGGAGCCAGCCGGCTTTAGGTGGTCAAGAGATGCCTGTGTTGCGTGTCCTGCATGCTGCCCATCTCCCAAAGTGGATGAAAGCTCTTGAGTGTAGACAGCAGACCCTTTTGGACAGAGTTCAGCAGAGCACAACCTGTAGGCCACTTTTGACCATTTGTTGGTAAAATTCTTTGGCCCAAATTAGCTACCTTACAAATCACCTGGCCACCCACAGTCCTGGGCAGAACAACGGTGACAGGCTGTGTGACCTTCCAGTGCAAACATATTTAATACCTCACATTGGTGGGAAAGAATGAGCTGCGTCCTGCTTTTGGGAGAGACTAGGCAGCGTACCAGATACTGTAGTACAAACCTATAGTCCCAGTACTCAGGAGGTTGACGCAGGAGGATCATGAATGCAAGACCAGCCTGAGTGAGGTCAAGACTGCATAGTGAGGCAAGACCCTGTTTCTGAAAAAAAAAGAAAACTTGTTGAGGACAGGATACCCGAAGTCCCAGCTACTCGGCAGGTGGGGCAAGAGGCTTTGTGAGTTCAGGGTCAGCCTGGGTAACATAGTGAGACCCCATCCCCTCTAAAAAGATGTAGGCTGGGGGTGGTGATGCACACCTGTAATCCCAGTGCTTGGGAGGCTGAGATAGAAGGATCACTGTGGGTTTCTGGCCAGTTTGCACTACAGTGAGACCCTGTCTCAGAGAGAGAGAGGGTGGAAGGCAGAGGGAGGGGAGGGGAGAAAAGATATGCAACTTGGTGATAGAGCACGTGCCTAGCACTCTTGTATGCTGTGAGGGTGTGGCCTGACTGGCTGTTGTCTGGTCCCAGGGTATACGGTGCAGGCGAGCTTTCCCCAGTGAACCCTCCGGAGGCCAAGCTCGTGGAACTAGACTTCTTGGGTGTGCTAGATGTCCCCGTGAGTACTTCTGTCTTGAGTGGTCCTCCTGTGGTCTAAGGAGGTACAACTAGTTTCAAGGTACTTTGCAGTCATCATGATCTGCAGCCTGTGGGTCAGGCGTGGAGCCCAGGCCCCTGGCCACCCCACCGCAAACAGAATTCTTGCGGCCAGTCCTCCCTGAACTGTCTACCACATCGGACCTGACTGCTTCTGGCCAGACGGGCTACTCTTCCCTGGTGCACCTGGGTAGCAGCTCTATGTCTGTATCCCCAGGTGCCAGGGCCTCCTCCGAGTGTCCTGGAGCGCGGTGGCCCACCCCTGCCTACCCAACCCATCCCCATGGTGGACGTGCTGCAGTACAGTCAGAGCGACCTGGATATGGCAGTAAGGACATAGACAACCCCGGAGTGAGGGTGGGAGCTGGCTCAAGGCTCTGAGCACAGGGTCCAGCACTTGTGTGGCTCCTAACAGCCCTGCCACTTCACCGCCCTTGCCCTTTGAGACAGGTGTCCACTTCCTCTCCCCTCTGGACTCCAGCCTGTTCCTGCCTGGGTGGGTGGGCAGGGGGGCTAAAGATTCCTAGCAGCAGCCTCTCCCCAAACAAAGCCACTACCCAGCCTCAGGCAAGGGGACCTGGGCCTGGGAGAGCAGTCCATCAGATGGCGTAGGGATCTCCGTCTGCATCTTCCCTGGGGTCACAGCCCCTGCTCTCTGGTCCCCATGACCATGGAGACTCAGGCTTTGGGTCACTACGAAGAGCACCTGTGGTGTGTTGGCCCTGCTCTGAGCTGCTCCCTCCCCTGACAGTCCCTGTGCAGGGAAGCTTGGTTACAGGGCTGGCTCAGGCCATGTCCACGTCATGTGGCTCTAACCCCTGGGCTGTGTACCCTCAGCTGCGCTGTTCACCTCACCCAGACCGATGCAGGCTGCTGTGGAGAGCTGGGTGGGTGTCCTCTTCAGTCCCCACAGTGACCCCATCAGATCCAGAGCCTAGCAGCAGGCTTCTGGCCTTCCCCTACCACCCCACCCCTCTGCGGTCCCTGCCACCTGCCTGCCCAGAGGAGCAGGAACACGCAGACAGCAGCCTCACTGTGACCAGGGCCCTTGGGTGGGGACTGACCACAGGGTACCCCACAGCTGATGGATCAGGGGCCCTACAGGTGAGCGCAGCCCAGCAGGAAAATAAGGAACTGAGACGCCAGTATGAGGAGCTACAAGGAAAGAACCTAGAGATGGGGTGAGGCCCATGCACATGGATCTGCCTGCCGTGAGCCCTGACACTCGGGGGCTGTGGGTGGCCAGTGCTCACCCTCTTTTACCCTCCACAGGAAGATCATGGATGGCTTTGAGGTGGTGGTAAACCAGGCCATAGGTGAGTGCTGGCCCCATTTTCTATACTGTGTCCCTGGCCATTATGGCAGGGGTCAGTGAGGTGGTTGCACTAATAAGCCTGGCACCATTGTGCCCAAAGCTGGCCACCAAAGCCACAGTCTCCATCTAGGCCATCCTACCTGCAGCAGCCTGTGTCTTGGGAAGGTCACTGCTGGGACCTTTCTCTCACCTGCTGCCTGGGGTTGCTTGGGGTGCTTCCTGCCCCACTGTCCTGGACCTCCCTGTGGGGTCAGTGTGTTCTAGGCCTGTGTCATACATAGGTCACCTGCCAGAATCCACACCTCCCTGCCCTGTACCACCCCACGCCCCGCTTTGGGGACTGCCCCCAACCCGAGCACTTGCTCTTCTCAAGAGGATGCCAAGAGACAGAAGGAGCTTGCCAATGCTGAGATCCACAAGGTCCTCAGAGAGAAAGAGCAGCTTACTGCAGACCTGAACTCCATGGAAAAGTCGTTCTTCGACCTCTTTAAGCGCTTTGAAAAGCAGAAGGAGGTGATCGAAGGCTACCAGAAGGTGCATCCAACCCTCTCTTCCCTACACTTCCCTTTGTGAGTCAGGTCCTGCACACAGGCCAGTGCAGGACATGTGCCACAGTGGGCCGAGTGTCACTCAGGAGGCATGCGGACTCCAGTAGCACCCCCAGCCTCTCAGTGAAGACACTCGGTGGGCACAAGCGGGGAGGCCTGGGACAGAAGAGTCTGGTGTGAAAGATGGCATGGGTGGCTAGGTTGTGAGCTTGGGGACTGGCCCTGTAGGAGAAGTCAGCTGCCAGGCCAGCCCCGCTAGCCAGGAGCCTCTGCAGCCCATGAGGGCAGCCAGGTGCACAGGGGCTGTACAGCTGAGAACTCTGGCAGGCCGCAGGCAGAGCCTGGGACTGTGCAGACCTCCTGACATCCTGCATCACTGCCCATGCCCACTCGGCCCTGTGTACCATCCTGGATGGTCTCCAAGGGCACCGGCGCCACTCACAAGGGCCCATCTGCCACTCCACAGAATGAGGAGTCGCTGAAGAAGTGCGTGGAGGACTACATTGCCAGGGTAGAGAAGGAAGGCCAGCGATACCAGGCGCTGAAGGCCCATGCAGAGGAAAAGCTCAGGCTGTGAGTGCTGGCATGGCCAAGGGAGGTGCGCCTGGCCGGACCTCAGCTCAGCCTCCACCCTCTGCCCTGCAGAGCAAACGAGATGATCGCCCAGGTCCGGAGCAAGGCCCAGGCAGAGGCACTGGCCTTTCAGGCAAACCTCACGAAGGCGCAGATGCAGATCCACTCGCTGGAGAAGGCCGTGGAACAGAAGGTGAGTGCCCAACTTCCCCTCCCTTCCCAGCCCGGTTTTCTCGGAGCTGCAGAGACCCAGCCCCACCTCTGTCCACAGAGCAAAGAGAATGAGGAGCTGACCCGGATCTATGACAACCTCATCTCTAAGGTGAAGAAGATCTGATCCAAGCTGTGGCCACAGCGGCTCCTGCTACCTATCTGCCTATCTGTCCATCTGTCCTAGTTTTGTGTTCTTCTCTTAATGTGTTTCTGGAATAGGTTGTCTTTAAAAGAGGACTAAATAGGGGGCTGGGGTTTTAGCTCAGCAGCATAAGCGCCTGCCTTGCAAGCAGGCAGTCGTGAGTTCGATCCCCGGTACTGATAAAAAGGAAAAAAAAAAAAAAAGGACTAAATAAAGTTTCCCTTAAGCGCAGACTACAGCCAAGCTGGCCTTGCTTACCACGAGGGTGTCCTAGCTGGGGGCTGAGGTGTAGCCAACCCATCACCCTACTCTGACCCTCAGTCACCCTTCCTAGCTCTGGTCACTGCCCCTGAGCCCGGGCTGTGTTTCCCTGTGGAGGAGTCAGAATGCTCCTGGCCTGAGGAAGCTTGAGTCCTGCCATTTGCCTGGGGTACAGCCAGGGTGGCCACCTGCTCCCAGGATGGAGCAGGGCCCTGGGTTTGGTGTCAGCTGGCAGCCTTGTGGGAGTGGAAACATCTGCACTTGTGGCTGGTAACCACCAGTCTGTGCAGCCACTGTCCTGTGGGTGGTAAGGAACAGGGGTCAGACAGGTTCCCAGAGGAAGGAGGTTCTGTCTCAGACAAGGCCAGGACCTCTCCCTCCCACCCACCAGCCCCACCCACAGACAGGATGACAGCACAAAGTTGTGCTCCTGCAATACATCAGGACAGATACTAGACAGTGTCATAAGGTCCTCTGAAGTGAGATGTGGTGTCCAAGTCAACAGGCCTGCAGGCACAGAGTACAAGGGTGCAACCAAGAAGCCTCACAGGTGGCTCTGAATGGCAGCAACATCCTGGAAGCCCTGGGTACAGGACCCTGCTCGCTCACTCTTGGGGCCTGGTGACAGAGCCCAGAGCCCAGCCAGTGTCTAGGAAACAGGAAGACGTCCAGTCCGACCTTAGAGCAGACCTTGCAGTGGGTGCCACTGTTCCCTCAGTGAGGACCGCCTTCCCAGCCTGGCCCCTCATAGGCCCCAGCCCCTCCAGAAGCCTGGAACCTGCTCTACACAGGGGACCTGGGACACAGTGGCCACCAGGGGGCACTGCCAGCCACTGAGTTGGGCTCAGCCCGTCAGCCTGCTCTTCCCACCCGGCCTCCCAGTTCCTCTGATCTCCCAGGTCCCAATCCCTACTAGGGCCCCAAGGAGCCTGTAGGCGTGAGGGAACCTAAGAGCTAGATGGGGTTCAAAAGTGTGGCTCAGGAATCCCCATCTGGGGCTCAGGCCAGACAGCAGGCATCCACAGTCCCCTAGCAGAGAGGGCCATGTCACCCCCACATGGCCATGCCACATTATGAGGGCAGAGACCTGAGTCAGCCTCACAGGGAGCCAGGCAACCACCCTGCCCTGGGCCTCAGGCTGCTGCCCCTGGTCCCAGCCCTACAGTCCAGCCAAATCTGCCCTTCCAGATGCCCAAGGCCTCCCAGCTGCCCGCCTGAGACCACCCCAGCCTCCCTGCCAGCACCCCACTGAACCTTCCCTGTCCCCAGAAGGAGCCTGGTTGCTGGAGATGCCAAAGGCTGCCAGCCCACTTCAGGCAGTGTGGGCAGCTCCCTCCACGTCCGGGGTGGTGAGCAGGGGTCTGGGCAGAGCTCAAGCTGCAGGAGGGCAAGCTGCCCAGATGCTGCCCATGGTACCCTGTTGCAGGCCCACGGCTGCTCCAAAGAAGCCAAGGCAGCCAGCCCGTCAGCCTGCTCTTCCCACCCGGCCTCCCAGTTCCTCTGATCTCCCAGGTCCCAGTCCCTACTAGGGCCTTTCAGAGACTGCCCAGAGCAGACCCCGTGGGGCGGCTAGACGTGTTGGGGCAGCCAGCCTGGCCCAGGGCCACGCCAAGGACACCAACCGCCCGGCAGTGTCCTGGGCCGGAGCCTCTCTACAGGACAAAGGGGCCTTGTGTGGCTGAATGGATATTTATCCTGGAGCTGAGTTAACTCAGGCCGCATGGCCAGGCAGGAGCCTCTGTGGGTAAACATGACCCCATCTGGGCACAGAGGGGGCCTGCACTTCCGCAGCCCCATGCCCCTGACATCTATGCAGTGGGTGCCCCATGGGCTCCCTGCCAGGATGGGGCAAGGAACAGGGAGTGCCAGAGGGCCACCTCCTGGTCCTCACCGCCCAGCAGCAGGGCGACAGCTACTTGCCCTAGTGCCTGAGAGTCCAGGGCCATGGAACCTCCCTCCTGTGGGGCAGCCCCTGCCTGCAGTGGAATCCCAACTACGGACGGAATGTTAGAGACCCCAAAAATGTATGTGCTAAAGTGTGAACCCACGGCAGTACTACCTAGCAGTGGAGAGGAGGGAATTGACCAGGGCCCAAGAAAGGACATGGTGGGATCAGTGTCCTAGCTAGAAGACCATAGGCCCCTAGGACCAAGGGTGACTGGGAAGGTGTCCATATGCAGGCCAGGAAGCCTTCCCTAGCCCTGGGCATCAGCACCTGGTCCCAACGTCCAGTCTCCAGGCTGAGAGAATAACTAGCAGAATCCCTAGTCTGAGAGGTTTTGCTTTGCTTTGCTTTGTTTTAGTTGAGACAGGGTCACGGTATATAGTCCAAACTGGCTTTGAACTCACTATTTAGCCTAGGCTAATTTAAACTTAATTCTCCTGCCTCAACCTCCTGAGTGCTGGGATTACAGGTACACCTGGCTATGAGTTTGGTTCTGGCACCAAGCAGAATATGAGCTCACCATCACGGGGGATGCACAATCCCTGCCTACCTACTGCCCCTTCATCCTGCCAGCACCACCACCCACAGTATAGGCTGGAACTCCACCAAAGAACTTAGGCTCCTTATGTGCTTGATGGAGCCCCTCAGTGTGGGCCCTGCATGGGCAGGACCCTTGCAAGGGGCCAAGCAACGCTGCTCATCCAGGCCCATTACCCCAGACCCCTCAGCTCTGTGGGCCCCAGTGGCCCCAGCCAGAGCCCCAACTGCCTTGGAAATCAGGCACCACCCAGCCCACCCTGCTCTCTGGCAAGGCTCTCTCTCAAGAGTCCCGGGTCATCATGTGCCCCGAAGGCTCCCTGAAGGTCCCTCAGTTGACACCAGCTCTGTGGGAAGCCCGGAGAGGGAATAGTGCTGGTGCTGGCAGGACCTCCCTCTTGGTACCCTCTGGCTTCCCTGCTGAGGAAGTTCTAGCAACACTAGGCCTTGCAGGGCCTCTCGGAACACAAGAGCACAGAGGTGCTGTCCTGGAGCCACTGGGGTACACTCTTGGGCAGGGCATACTGTGGGGTTACTTTGGGAGCCACTTTCCAGAGGCACTGCTTATGGAGGGGCACTGGCTCAAACTGCTTCTCTCTGACCCTGGAGCTCTCGAGCACAGCCCCTCCAGCCACAGCTGGGTGAGTTATTTGCCCAGGCAGCCTGCAGGGGGGCACAACTGGGCCAGCGGAGCCCCTTTTGTGGCTGTCTGCCCACCTGGCAATCAGACCTGAACAGCTAAATGTGGGTGTATCCCAGAGGAGCCTGGCCTTTCTTCCACACCACCACCACCCCTGTCCTGAGGACCCCTGCCCACTCCCCAGAACCCCCAAAACCAGTGGCAGCATGACTGGGAAGTTCCGTGCCATGTCTATGCTGCCTGAGCCACCAGGCCCAGACTCAAAGTCCCCTCTTCCCTGCAGGCTAGGCTCAGCCCCTCACCTTTGTGATTGCACAGGGGTGACTCCTCCAGAAATCCCCCTGCTGGAGATGCTAGGGCATTCGTGGGTGGATGAGTGGCTGGATGGGTGAACTAATATCATGCAGCAAGAGACCAGGCACTGGGAGACACACAGGTATCCCTGCCACTCCAGAGCCTGAGCAGGAGAACCGGAAGTCCCAAGCCAGCTTGGGCATCAGAGCAGGACCCTGACTCAGAACAGAGGAGCAGGTTGAGGGTGCCACTTACTCAGCAGCTAGGGCCTGTGTCATCAGGAGGCCTGGGTTCCACCCCCTCACATGGCTGCTCCACTCCCAGGCCATCACCAAGGATGCAAGGGCTTCACGCTGTCCTGCAGGCAGTGCTGGGGACACTGCTGTTCCCCTCTGCCCCTCCATCCTGTGTTCCCCTGCCACCCTGTTCTTGTTTACCCTGCTGGCTCCTCACACCTGGCTGGGGACCCCTGACAGCGGGTCGGGGAGGGGACACACTGGCCTCACCTGTGATGGACAGTGAGCATGAGATGCACAGAAGGGGCTCCCATGTGGGCAGACCTAGGAAGACAAGTGTGGGTTCACCCTGCAGGGAACGCCTGGGACTTGTCAGAGTTTGGAGGGTCCCATCTGCTTATGGCTGCTCAGGCCTCTCCTGAGCCCTCTGGGATACCCAGCTGGTAGGAGGACCCTAGGGTGTAGCCTGTGAGCCCAGCACCTGACCCAGCACTTCAGGTGTTGGGCGCAGGCGCTCAACACACCCCGCCCGGGACAATAAGACCACGTCAGCTTCCGCAATGCGTTACGTCCCTCTCTAAATTAGCCAACCCGTGCGCACCTCGTGCTCACTCCGTATTCGCCCCGTGCTGACTCTGTGGCAAACCCTGATTGGCCACAGCTGGATATATTAGCCAGAGCCTGGGTCCCATTCCCGCCCTGCTTCCTCGTGGCAGCCTGTGATTGGTCACAGCCGAATTATAAACCAGAGCCCGCGTAAATAAAGCGGCAGTTCCTATTACCCACAAGAGCGTCCTCTGTCTCATTGGGGGGCTGCGCCAGTCATTCAGGCCCAACCCTGAACATCCCAGGAACCTGACAGGCCTAGCACCACTTCCTGGACTCTGGTGGGCTCAGAGCCGCTGCCACTGAGGGCCACCCTGGTCAGTGTGGGCCGAGAGCCCGCTCCATCTGGGCTCCCTTCTTCCAGGCTGAGGGAGGTGAAGGAACAGAGGACACACACAGGACAGGATGGGTGACAGGGCCAGGAACCCAGGGCAAGGAGGGCATGAGTTACAGGTGTCCCTCTGTAACTACACTTGCCACGCTATGTTGTCCCTGCCCCACATGCCATACAGGCTCTCCTGGCTCTGCTGTGCTGCTCTCAACCCACCCCTCCCAAGACGCAGCCAAAGCAGCAGGGAGCACAGGAGGGGCTGCCAGGAACCCTGGCACCCAACATCCCCCACTCCAGCCCCTGGCATCCTGTGCCTGCCCCAGCCCCTTCCTGTCTTGCACTAAGGCCTAGAGCTGTGGCCCAGGGCTCTAGGGACCTAGAAGGTGGC